TTCACAAATTTCACAATGAAGGTCATCATGAGTGTTGTTCGAAAAAATAGAGGGAAATACACGTTTCAGATATTGAAAATTGGGGTGACCCATTCTATAATGTCATAAAAATATTTCACTTATCTTAGGGACAAAAGCAGAATCACAACTAGCAAATTGACGTAGTTTACTCGCATCAACCTCTTAAAAGTAGTAGAGTCTTTCACACTCCTTAGCATTGCCAATCGTCTTGCCCGATGATAGATCCTGAAAAACACAGTGAGAAGGGAAAAAATTAGCAGAACAATTGGAATTTTTCGTCAATTGACTAATGGACAATAAATTGCAAGACAACTTTGGGACATGGAGAACGGATTCAAGTGTTATTAAATTGGATATTCGAATACTTCCTTTTCCTGCAACAGGTGAGAGTGAGCCGTCTGCAATTTTTACTTTGAGGCTGCCAGCACATGGCGAATATGTGGTAAACAGGTGGTAGTCGTCCGTCATGTGATCGGACGCACCAGAGTCAATGATTCAGGGAACTTTGGATTGTGCGGTAGTGTTGAGGGCCTTTAGAAAGCTACATTTATGCGCTATGGAACTTGATGGGCTAAGATTTAATACATGCGTTGACCCATTAGGCCTATTTATTGGATTAAGGGCCATTCCATCCGGCCCAAATTCACTAGCTGGCACAGACTCGTTAGGTCTAAAATCATCTACTAAACAAGCTAAGACACCAGACGGCCCAATTGATTTATTAGGCCTAATTCCATTAGCTCCAGATAGCCCGGCTGATTTATTAGGCCCAAAGCAGGCCAGGACATTGACTCCAGGCAGCCCAGTTCCTTTCTTCTTCGCGGCGTCGTTCCTCTGTTCTTCTTGGTCGATCTCCTGTGGAAATTGCACTTGACCCATGGTTGGGTATGGTGCGCCGAAGGAGAGGACTTCATCCCATGTGGTCCGCGACCATGGGTTGACTGGACGGCGCTGGATTTTGAAACGCTCGGACCTCGCTGCGGGATTGATACAGAGTCATGGGTTGTTGTTTGGAATGAATTGAAGACGTTGTTGGGGTCGCTTGAGGTTGAGCAATCGACCGGTGGGATGTTCCGATCACGGTGGTGGTCGGTGGTGATTCCGGCAGTTTTACCACTTTTAGGCGACTCGTTTTCTGAATTGATTTCTGCCAAAAGGTAGGCTTTTCCAACTGAGGCTTTTTCATCGTGACTTTGCCAATTTTTTCTGTTTCTGTCATCGATGGCCGAGTTTAGAATCACTTCGGCTCTAATACCATGTTGATTTTAATGAAATAAAATAACAGAACACAATACTCCCGTGAAGCTCCCTGTCCCTCCCAAGTTTATTTCATGAAAAACATATATCTTATTACAATACAACGGAATCCAATTTATAATAATTCCTAATCTAAGAAAAGGAAAAGTTTCATAATCTACATAAGGTGAGCAATCAATAACGATAATATCATATAATACACGGGATTTCTACAAAATTTTATGAATGATTTATACTAATTACCTATTTAAACTAACTATTATAATGATTCTAATGAGCAATTTATGAAAGCTTTTATAACAATTATGTGGAATGATTACTTAGACTTTGAACGTCCCTTATTAATCCATTTTAATACAATCCAATATCATGATAATATGTATGCATTCTTTTTGATCAATGTTCCTAAATTATTTAATAATCTCGCTCAAGTAGAATTAAATATATCCTCTTATGTGACTTTCCTATATCTCTATGAAAGATACAAATATGAAAAGGTGGATAAAAGACACTAGAACATCTTGAAATTATGCAAAGAATAGCGGAATATCTCTATCCTCTATCGGAACCTTACAGTAGTTTTTATAAGTGCAATCTATCCTATTATCTCTCTCGATGGAAATAGAAATCACAAACAATTCAATTAATAGCTAATTAATTGAAAGACATTAAATCCAATAATAATCACCTAAGAATAAACACATACTGGACATCAAAATATTGAAATTATTAAAAAGTTCATAATAAGGATTTATTTATGTCTTAGTAATAGAGACTATAGCCTAGTATTACAATATTACATGAAATTATGATAATTGCGTAGAACATCGCCCGGATTTTGATTAATTGAAGAAGAGGATGAATCTTGAAACGTTAAATATCTTCAATGATTTCTTGATGAATTCTTGTTGTGCCTTCCCTTTATTGCCAAAAAACCAGAATTTGATCGTCAAAGAATTGAAATCTTGCCATTGCTTCTTAATTGCCCCAAAAGATTGATGAATTGTCATCTCTTTTCTTGTAATAATTGATGAAATAGAATATATGAGGTTTTTTTGAATGTTGCCCACGTTCTTGTATTTAAAATCTAGGTCAAAATCGCGTTGAAATTTGTTTTGAAGTAGAGTTCTGATCAAAGAAGGAAAATAGCCCCGTCTGGCAAAATTAACTTTGCGCCGTGTGACGTTTTCTCTCTCAGGTTCTTCTAGATAGTGTGGCGCGTGTGCGCCATTACTTCTCCACTGCGCTAGCCATGTTGCATCTTTGCAATTGGTACCTAAACTTCTAGGTGGCATATTTAGGCCCTTTCTTCATGCAATTTTCATCCTTTAACTTCCAATTGCATTCAGTTGAACCTGTATAGTCTTCATAATTGTTGTGTGGTCCTAGTCAACTATTAAAAAGTTGCACTTTGGCCCTGAACTTTAGAAATTATTTGTTTTTCGCTTATTTTCACTCCTTTTGATCAATTGCCATCCAGACTTGGTTATCACCTACAACAATCAGTATTTAAACACATTAAGTAGTATTTTATTCGATTATGTCCCAAGTATCCACTTTTGAAGACCTAATTAGTTGTAGAAATTACTCTTATCACCTAGGCTGATAATTAAAAGCTTAGAAAATCATCTAGAGAAATGAGCACACATCTCATCCATTCTAAGGCTTTGTGAAGGTGTAAGCTTTGATAAATGACAGTGTGTGTAAGATATGATGCATTGAATGAAAGCATTATGTGTGAAGTGGGACTAAGGCATAAACCTCAGACAACTTTTTTAAAACAATGTCAATGAACATCCAATCTTGCCACATAACCTTCATAGTGTTAAAGCAGTTACGATGAGATCTCCATTTTGTATAAATATAGTTGTCTTCAACTGAATACTTGAGCTGCATTTCCCGTCTTGTAATGCACGAGTTATTGCATTACAAACTTGTTTAGGAGTAGATGGCTTTTTGATTTCTAGTTGCATGGAGTTGATCAACCATGAATTGACCTATGAATTTTCAGCATTCGACAATAACAAGTAGGGTTTGAGATATTTGGTTTCTCAATCATACATGCAATTTTCCCATCTTTCTTGTTCCTCAAAGTTGCACAAGCCACAGCTAGTGACCAACCAAAAAAGATTAAAGCTATTCAGTTTTTTAGATGTGATTGTGAGCAAGATTTCAAGTAGTTGGCATTTGATATCGAAGGACAAGTATGTAGAAAGGAAAAATAAGGTGGGGGTAAAATAAAATGGGATAGCCAACCAAAGTTCATCGGAAAAAAACAGAGATAATGGTGATAATGCCAGTAACGAAAAACATCAGGAAGAGAAATTAGAATATCGTTTTGAGTCTCTAATGTGGGTAGATGAAGGAAAGAGGAGAGATAACTTTTCACTTCTTAGGTTTTAGCTATGTCTACAAGGTATAGATACATGACTGTACAACTAGTGGAAAGAAAAATTTAATATACAGCTACACAATCCCTACAAACACTCCATACTCCCTATTAATTATATGTAATCATTGATCAAACCAAAATCTATGAACCTGTAGATTGAGGTATTACCTAGTGGTTGGTGGGAAAACTAATTTACTTGCATATACTAGTAAACCAATTTATACATGCACCACTAAAGGTAAATCTTTAAATGTGGACTTGAATCTATTAATATGGAACATTTTCTTTTCTAAGGAAAATCCCCTAGTATATGAAAGATCCTAGTTTTTGCAACATTAGCGTTCTATGCAAGAAGAAGATACAAAGAAGTTTTATAAAAAGAAGTATGCTTAGGCAGTTATTTCGAT